TAAAAGTCTGTTTTCTGTATACACGAAAACTAGAATGAGTACCAGTGTCCAAAGGTTTCTCAAATTCGCTACACATTTTGTATCTAATAAGCGCTAGCAATATGGAATGGCTTCATGGAGATATAATTAATTCGTAATTTTTCTTAAATTTTTTTCTCCACACAGTTTTCTTTTGAGATGTGCAAAGAAACAAACTTGGTGGTAATAAGGATAAACAACAACAAAAACAAGCACATTTTCAAAGGCAAAGTAACATTTTTGCATCCAACAGGAAACTTTTTGGTGTCTACTAAGTACAGATTTTTTTCAATTTGTTGTATTATTTCTTTATTATTATTAGAGCATTGCAAATAAAAAAAAATGGATGAATCAATTCAGGAAAAAAATCCTGTTTCTAAGCTCTCAAATTTATGTTTTATTCAAGGCCAAAATCTACCTTTGGCAATGCTCGGTATAGTCTTTTTTTTTTTTTTTAATTTTAGACTTAAATACTAAAATTTAAATATACCATAGAGAAAATAAAAAGAAACATTATAAATTTAAATATTGAAACTTAAGTACTTAATCTTAACTGGAGTGGTAATAACTAACCCTAGTCAACTACTTTCATGGAATCTTGCATGCCCCAGCGAATATTAGGAAGCAGGAGGTGAGCAGTATATTTTGGGATTTTTCCATCTCCAGGGAACTTAAAAAAAAAATTACGTTTTGAAGATTGGGCTTATGTTATCATTCATATTGAGTGATGTAGTTGTTATTTTTCACTTGAAGCAACATCATAAAAGGAAATGTTAATATTGAGAAAGCATTTGAAGTTTTAGATTAGCTCATTTACCTTTCAGTTTACAATTAATCCTGCGACCTAGTCTCTTTTAATGCCAGCAAAGTGAAGTGAAGGACCTTGGGAATACATTACTGGGCATAGAATTTTCTTTATTTTTGTTCAGTCGTTTCAGTTGTGTCCCATTCTTCGTGACCTCATTTGGGGTTTTCTTGGCAAAGATACTGGAGTGGCTTGCCATTTCCTTCTCCAGCTCATTTTCCAGATGAGGAAACTGAAGCGAGCAGATTAAGTGACTTGCCTAAGATTACATAGCTAGTAAGTGTCTGAGGCTAGGTTTGAACTCGGGTCTCCTTGACTCCAAGCCCATGCTCTATCTGCTGTGCCATCTAGCTATCCCCAGGGTTTTCTTTATGATACTGAATTCATTTCTTTTCTGGTAATAATTTGTAGTTTTTTTACTTACACTATAGAGAATGATATAAAAGGAGAAATAGGAAGAAAATTCAATATTCAATATAATTTTCTCTTTTCCCTGGCCTAGAAAGATTTCTCACAGATTTCTTTGATTATTTCTTATGTATTTCAGATCTGATTGTTTAATCTTATGAGCAACATACAAATCCAGAAAGTTATAACTTGTAAGCTTTTGTTCACATGGACATTCAAAACTGAAAATGTTCATGGAAAATTAACTTCCAAACAGAAAAAAAGTGAACACGAGTATCTCAGTACCTTTTTAAAAAAATTCTATGACCCAAAGGTGTCAGATAATGGTTAGTGACACTCTACAGCTCCAAAATAAAATTTAATTGGGAAATATTTAATAAAATAAATAAAATACAATAGAACATAAATATGTGTTTTTCCTATATGTGATTTTTCTAAATCAATATGTGACCTGCAGGGATTATCTATTCCAATTATTTTGTCTTAATAAATGAGGACACATTGAGATGAAGTGACTTGTGCCAGTTCACAGGGGTGGGTAGTGCATGATAAGTGGTAAAGTCGCTGTTCTAACCAGGTCATGACTTTACAGCTAGTACTTTCTGTGAATCAGGATTCTATTCTTTTATTTATTTTAAAAGTGTTTCTGATATTTTTTAAGAGAGGAAAATGCAAATACCTTCCAGCACAAAGAGTATGTATTGCATGCTTTGTAAAGTATGACCTGCAAACTAAATGTATATGAAATACTTTGCAAATAATTTGATATTCTGTGCAGATTGTACCTGTAGTCTTCAGTAAGTCTATATAAGCCATCTTTGTTCAGCTATTGAAACTGAGACTTCATGACCAGATTGTGTACTCTCCCTCTGTGCCCATATTTTGTGATGTAAAGTAAACGAAGCAATTCAGTAAAAGTGTGACTCAACAGGTCACTGTAAGATCATTATTTTGTAAAAGAAACTAATCATAGGAAAGGATTTGTTTTTCTGTTCTATGATATGATTTGTAAAACTCAGCATTATCTTCTTGACTGTGTTATAAAAAGTATGCATCATGGTTCGTGGTGCTGGTCAGAGTCCTGGAAAATCTCAGCATCCTTCTTAGTTTGCATGTGACTTTGGGCAAGCCTATTAACCTCTCTGGGCCTTACTGAACTCATCTTTAAAATGAAGTCTTGTATTAGAGAACCTTTGAGGTCCTTTCCACTCTACGTCTATGATCCTATGATTTTTTGATACCTAGAGTCTGGTAGAAGGGCAGCAAAACTATAATATTTGTAAATGATGGTGAATTTTGATTCAGTAAAATGACTAAGAGATTATAAACATTTGGCAAAATTGAGAATCCTATAAATGTGCTACAAGCCCACGAAACTAGTTCAAGAGACATTTTTCGTCTATTTGCACATCCTTTAAAAAGTAGTTTAGATTTCACATTTTATATTCATTCACTCATTTAATTAACAAGTATTTATTGTGTCTACCACTTTAACAGGCATTTTGCAAGGTTTTGGGGACATAAATACAAAGAATGAAACAATTCCTACTCTCTAGAAGCTATTGAATGACTGTTAAGTGCATATGCTTAGTTTTTGTTAGACTCTGAGGAGCATGAGTGTAGTAGTTTCCTAATTGCTCGCCTGGCTTCATATTTTTCTCTAATGCTTTTTTTTTTTTAAACAAAGTCCTACTAGGGTAATTTTCCTAAAAAACACTTATTTCCTCAGTGTCTTTTCTCTTCTTAATAACCTCTAATGGCTTATTACTGCCTATAGAAAAAAGTCCAAACTTCTTAGCCCCTTTCTCACTCCTAATCTAGTTCCACTTAGCTCATCTAAGCCACCCATATGATGAGCTCACTTTATACAAGGAAAGAGTGCCACCACCTGGGAAAGGGATGCAGAAAGCACAGTAGAAGTAATCACTCACTTTTCTATGGAATTTTCAGGCGTTACTTAATAGTAAGTACTTCTTCCACAGCAACCCTGGTGGTTAGTGTAGTTTCACCTATGAGGAAACTGAGATTCATAGAAGTTGGGTGATTTGTCCATCATCATGTGACTACTAAGTGATAGAGCTGTAACTGAAACTCAGGTCCAGTGCTTTCCCCACTACACCATGTTGCCACTCACTGTACCTACCACAGACGATAGCAAATCTTCCAAAGAACCGAATTTAGTATCCTGTTGATACCAGGAGAATGGAGCATGCTGCCAAGTACAGGGAACATGGTAGAAGTTAATTGTTTGATCCAAAGAAGCAGATGAGTATGTAGTTAGTCATCTGAATCCTAACTTATATCACCATAAAAAGGATACAGAGAGACAACTAAATTCAGCAAGAGGAAGTGCAGGTACCCCAGAGAGATGGGTCACCCTCGTGGGGAAACCAGATGGGGATTATATGATGGAACAGATTTTTGTACAAGTTGTCAAGTGACAAGCATTGCTGGAGCTCCTTTCAAAGTGCACTTTCCATTTTACAGCCTTCAAGGATCTTCAGGTCTTTAAACTCAGATCCTGACAAGAGTCTTGTTTTGGGACACTTTTTAAAGTGGTGGCATTGGGATGCTTCATCATGTACTCCACATAAAGGGTGGTTTCATGGGGTCATCTCAGAAATCTTAGAACTATATTGTTGAGCAGATACTACTCTTCTGTAATAGATGCAGAAACGCTTTATTGAGGCTATTGATTCCTTTGGAGAAATTTAAATCTCTGAAAAATGAATGCCAGAAAATGCTAATGAGAATTGTTTTCAACATAACCCCCATTAACCAATGGTAACTTAGTCTTAGGTGAAATGAATAGAGAAGAAGCACATTACAGTATGTGTTTGGACCCCACAGCATGTCAGGTACAGTGTTTTATTAATTTTAGTATAGAAGCCAAGTGTTTTTGCAAATTGATCTCATGATTATGGTTGACTGACACCAAATTATTCCGGATGTCTTAAAGGAAGCACATGAAGTAGAGTTTCTTCTCTATTTCTAGATTGAAAGTCATTTTTATTTATTTATTAGAAGCTTTTGAATGTAGAACTCTGCTACAGAGTCTTAATGGAATCCCCTCTTTCTTGCTAGACTGTGTGTAGATCAGCTACTTATGTAATAAAGAATTAAGAGACAAACAGGCCTTTAACATGACTGAGCTATTATTTAACAACTAAACTGGTCTAGGCAAAAACCAAATCCATCAAAGCAAAAGAAATAAAAATCCAGCATGCAACACTCATCATTGGATCCACCCAATAAGAACACTTTGTTGATGAACTTGAACTTGCTGGTGGTTGGGCTAGGTTGGACAGCAGCCTGCAAAGGGGTTTTTGTAGGGACTATAAGATTAACTATGACTGAATAAAGTAATTTTTTTTTTTTAGGAAAATAATGAGTAGTAGTTGATTGATAAAAAGATAACGTTAGTGGAGGAGGCTTTCAGGGAAGGCCTTTAAATGTTAAATACCTTAAGCTAAAGATAAAAGCAGCACCTAGAGAGTGAATCCCACAGCCCAATTCCATTCTGTCTCTGGGGGCTCCCTTCCCCACTTAGAAGGGCAGAACAGAAAACATTATCCAAGCCTACCTGAGCCATGATTTTGCAAAAAGGAAGTAGCAGATTTTATTTAGTTCTCTCCAGGAGTCTTCATCGAAGTTCACAAACCCTGTCCACCCGCCTAGTATAAAGAGAGGCCATCTAGACCTCGCTATATCCTTTACCCAGACTAGAGCAGGTTTTCCAGAAAAATTTCCCCTTTCCCTACCCTCCTTTATGCCTCTGACAGGTAAGCCCTGTGCTCACCTCCTGCACTTTCATTCATCCTACTTCTTCAACTTTACCCTAAACTCTATTCAGCAAAGAGTTGTATATAACTTAAAATGAGAGCTGTGCCTGTCTGATGCTGCTGTACAACTAGAACAAGTTCTAAGCCAGAGACTCAGAGTTCAGATTCGATACAAAATAAGCATAAATACATATATAAACATACATACACACACATATTTATACCTAATTTATGTTTAGTCTTTAAATATTAGAACACATATTTAAAAACCAAATTCTCAGATTCATTAAGAGGAAGGTGCTATGGAATATCATGATACCTCATGACCTGCTTGGAGTTTCTAATTGTTATTTTTTTCCTTCACAGATGAAGGAGTTTGTAATGAAATCACCCGGGTAAGTTACATGAAGAATTATTTTCTACTGTTACCAAATAGAAATCAAGAAACTCTGATGAGCTCTTACTTGTTCATATACTTCATGGAGTAGCATTGTATTTAGAAAAATTCTTGAAGCTAGCTAGAGTGCCCAGACATAGCTGGTTATTGGGGGGATGGTGTGAGGGAAATGATGACAATCTATTATGCCATTGTTGGCGGCATTGTAGGGTTAGTCACTTTAGCAAACTGAGTAAACCTTTTCACATCCAAGGGAAGTAATCGTTAACTTTATGAAACTCGGGGGACTAAGCTCCTGGAGGACAAGGACTGTATAACATCTAGTGTATTGTGGGTGCCCAGTAAGTGCTAAATTACTGATTAAGCCCATAAAATGAAATTATATTTAATTTTATATCCTTTATTTCAGTAACCTATTTAAAATTGGACAAACTGTTGAAAATGTAATGCCAGAGCATTAGAAGGAAAACAAAACCCTGTTAGGTATCATTCATCCTTTTAAGTGTTAAAAATGAACATTTTGAGAATCATTGATAGAATTGCCTGTACAAAAATCCATTTACATTGCTGGCCATAAATAGAAGGAAAACCTTTGAAATGAACAAGGATAGCTAGCTTTTAAATTTTTTTTCTTTTTGTATCACTGTCCATTTGTGAATAACAACCCAAATGCGAGGAATTTAAGAATCAAGACATTAATTGATCCAACACACATTTTTCAAGGTCTTTTTGTGTGCAGTGTGCTGGGGTAAGCACAGGGATGAAATACAAGGATAGATAAGACACAGTCCTTGGCCTCAAGGAGCTTACAATATAGTTTAGGTAAGGCATTTGCACATGGACACATACACACATGTACATCTGCACACACACATGAATGCAATGAAAATTAGAATGGGATGTGTATTTGAGAGAAAGATATAAGAAGAGTAGAAAAGTCTAAGAAATCAAATGAAGTTTGGGATATCAGGGAAGACTTCATTGCAGAGGTGATTTTCTGAGCTAAAACCTGAAGGATGGGTAGGATATCAGTAGGCAGAGATAAAGGGACCAAAGGAGACGGGCCCAGGTAACCAGCTGCCAGAACACAGGCTCAGAGATATGGGAGCACAGTGTGTGGCCAGAGTGGTTTCACTTTGACTGGATGAGGACTGGGAGAGGAATATTGAATGCAGGAATTAGGAGGGCGTTGATAACTACTTTCTGTATGGTGGTGGGGATGGACATTAGATTGCATGAGGTTGAAGGAGAGTGATTGAAGTTATTTATGTCCTGAGTAAGATTTGTAGACTGAATTTTCACAGTTCATTTGCCTCTTTCACCTTATAGTATAACACATCTTCCCCAGAATAACTCTGTGTACCATGGACAGCAGAACTTTCTGACAACATAAATATGCACATTTATTTTTAAAAGTAGTACTAAAATTGCCCCTTCATCTCCTTTTGTGTGCCATAAGCAAGAGGCTTCCTTGCCTTTTTCTAGTTTTCATGCTGACAAATGAGTTGATGATGAGGAAATGAAAGCAAGCAGGCTACTCATTAAAAATGTTTGGCAATGAAAGAGGCATAGGGCAGTACTTTGAGGAGGGAATAAAGTAGAGGAAAGGCTGAAAACATAACATAGGTAAAAAGACTTGGTGTTTGTAGGAGGAGGGGAGGAATACAGGAGAGGAGAATAAAGATTAAAAAAAATGAAGAGATTTTCCATACAAGCAAGATTGGTCTTACGAGAGATGGGAGAGAGGATATCAAGGGGTACTAATAAAGGGGAAGGTACTGATTTGGGGGAGAAGAGCTGCCATTTCCTCAGAGGAAAGAAGGAGATAATAAGTGAAGATCCATGTTTTGAGGGCAGATGGAGAGGAGTAGAGAAATACTTCAGTCTTTTCAGTCAGTGGTGTAGGAGGTGGTATAATCTGATGAGAGTAAGGAAGCCAGACTGGGCTCAGAAGCTTGAGGAGAGAGGTTTAGAGCTGACCCTACAAGGGATGTGATAGGCAGCCAAAGATGAGATAGAACACATTTACTGAGCAGCAGGGTGCATCCAATTGACATAATGATATTAATAATAATAACAACACCACCACCAGAAATAATGATGTCAGTGATAGCTAATATTTGCACATAGAACTTTCAAGTTTGCAGTTGAGGAACAGAGAAAAGGCCAAGTTGGCTGGATTGCAGAGTGTGTGAGAAGGGGAACTTGGGAAGAGAGGTTCTGGCCAAGCTGTGAAGGACTAAACAGAGGAGTTTAAATTTGATCCTAAAGGCAATAGGAAGCCAGTGGCATCAATTGAGTTAAGAAGATTACATGGGGATTACATGGGCATATCTGCATTTAAGGAAAATTACTTTGGCAATGTGTGTAGGATGGCCTGCAGTAGGGAGACTTGAGGCAGGAAGACCAGTTACATAGTTGGAATAATTCAGATGTGAGCTAAGGTGGCTGTGTGAATGGAGAGAAGGATTTAGATTAGATGGGAGACATCCTGTGCAGGTAGAAATCTGGGGTAGAGAATAAGGAGCCAAGGAGAACGGTATAAACCTGGGAGATGGGAATTGTGGGTTTGTGGGGGAGGAGGAAAGGAAAGAAATAAGCATTGATTCATTAGTTACTATGTTTTGTAGACTTCATAAACTATCACAATGATGCTACGATAATGATCCCTTTTCAGGTGAGCTGCAGATAATTCAGTTACTGGAAAGAAAAAGCTGAGCCTAATGACTTCTTATTTAATTTTATGAAACAGAACTAAACTTGTTTGGGCTACGAATGAGTATATTGTGCAAACTTCATTTTATTTTATTTTTAAATTTTATTGATTTCTTCATTTATTTTTTGCAAGGCAGTTGGGGTTTAGTGACTTGGACAGGATCACACAGCTAGTGTGTCTTAGGCTAGATTTGAACTTGGGTCCTCCTGACTCCAGGGCTGGTTCTCTTCACCGTGCCACCTAGCTGCCTCTGCCAACTGCATTTTAAATTGAAGTGCTGAGTGTTGGAAATAGAAATTAAATTGTTTTTTCATTTGGGAGAACTGGAATTCCATGGATTTCACTTCATACCTACAAAACAAAGTTATTTCCATTTCTTCAACTACTTTCACTTTGAAGTGTTTTGTTTTGTGGGGCAGTCTTTCTTTGCAGTTGTATTGGAAGACTTGTTGGCTGCTAAAAAATAACAGCAACAACAACAACAATGTAAGGTACAAAAAGCATTAACGACGCAGTTTTGAAATTTTTACAAAACTGTAGACAAAGCAAATCTTAAGCATCAAAAAAATTATCTTCACAATTTGAGTACAGTTATCTCTTCCACATTGTGACTTTCCCCATAGTGGATTCAATATATCACAGGTAGGCATAAGAAGTTAAATGGGAATTTTTTGCAAGTTTTGTGGATGCTGCAGATTTCACACCAAGAGCAGCAGATTACACAGAAAAAGTTTAGAAACTCAGAAATGCATGAAATATTCATAGTATTGTGTAATATTAATCAAAATTTTGTAATAAGTTACTGTAAACATCCCAGAAAAGGAAAAGAAAAAAAAAGTCAGACTTCTTCTCTGGTACAAAGGGAGGGCCAAAATATTTTACACGGACTTTCCAGATTATGGGGGTGCCGTGCTCCTAACCCCCACAATGAAGAAGGGATAACTATAATTGGATATGTTTCACAAATTGCTGTAACTTCCTAATTTGGGTGAAAATCCACTATTATGCTGTGAACTTTTATAACTTATTTAAGTTTTTTCTATATGATAAACCAGAAGATAAATCACAGAATGTTAGAGTTGGACAGGACCTTAGATGTCATCTTGTCTGGTTCCTTCTCCTTGTACCCCCTTCCTTCTACCTTCAACCCCCCCTCCCCAATTCTACAACTTTCTTGACATTCCTCTGCTTGAATACTCCAGTGACATAATACTACTTCTGAAGGCTGCCTGTTCCATTTTAGACCATTCTAATTGTTAAGTATTTCTTTCTTATAAGAACTTCTAATATATTTCCCTGTGACTTATAATCTTTGGTATAGAGTTCTTAGCTTTATTTTATGTCCATTCAAAGGTATTTAAATACATGATGGGTTTTCTAATATTTGAAGAAAACTATCCTGTTCTGCCTCAGTTTCTTCGGTCATTTGTCATATGACCAGATCCTTCTGCATCTTCAAGTTTAACTACATTCTCTTCTAGTAGTTCAGAACTGAACACAATATGCTAATATTTGACCAGTTTGACCAGTGCAGGATGTAGTGACACTATTTTATCTCCTTCATCATTCTGGACATTTCTTCTGTTGGACTAACCAAAGAATGCATTAACTGTTTCTAGCAGGTATAATACTTTGATGACTAGTATTGATTTTACAGGGAGAGAATGAGGGATTGGGCCTGTAATCTCTGTGATCATAGATTTAAAGCCGGAGGGGTTGTCTGAAATATGTAGTGCAGTGCCCTTATTTTACTTATTTTACAGATGAGGAAACTGAGACCCAAGGAAGTTTGGTGACTTGCCTTAGGTCACATGGGTAGTAAGTTGTTCTCTTCCCCCCCCCCCCCCACTGTACTGTGCTTCTCCCCTAGTCTCTACTTTCTGGCGCTGTGCCTCATACATAGTAGGAATTTAAATAGTTACTGAGTGAATATTTACTAGTTCTTGCAATACCCTGGAGTGCTTTTATTTCAATTCTTCTAGGAGAATCCAGTAAGAAAGGACAGTTCTTTGCTAGTTGTTTGTATAGTGACATGTAGGAGAATAGTAATTTTAGACATGGCTAAATTGAGCCAGTGTTCAAGATGAGTAGGCTTTTTTTTTCCCATATGATATTCACTTGTTCAGTAGGCATTTATTATCTGCATTAGACGGATGTCTCAAGGATAGGAAGACAAAAATAAAGTAATGCCTGCCTTCTTTAGACTTCCTTTATAAAGTTTAAAAGCAAACCATGTGGTGAATATTGCTTATATTTGCACATTGTAATGTGTGAAGGCCAGA